TGTTGGAGCATCTACACTGAGCTATGAAGGGTAGATGGAATGACATCTTAAGTGCCAGCATACACCGATCTCATCACAGGAAGCACTCAAGCACTGTTCCTGTCTCTCCTTCCCAGGGTGGAACTCTCCCTGTCAAGGTTTGGGTTCTGCTTCTTCATCTTGTTGGAAAATGGGGTGCCCCTTTGCTGTGAGTCGACTGTGAAATGGCCTCCACAAACTCTTGTGTTAGTCATTCAGTGGGTGACACTAACTCAGGAGGTTTGGAGCTCTTGGGAAGTGGAGCCTGGCTTCAGGAAGTGGCTGTCTGGGGGGCCAGGCCTTGAGGCTTACAGCCTGGCCTTGCGTCCTGTCTTCGGTGTGTGTCCTTCCTCCTCAGAGCAAGCAGCCGGACACACCAGCCACCATGTCTTCTTCACCACAGCACACTGCACCCCCAAACCATGAATCAAAACGTCCCTTCCTTCCTCGAGCGGCTTTCTCTAGGGTGTGTGGCCACACCAACAAGAAAAGGGACAGTGTACTCCTTTAAGCCGCTGCCCACAGCTGCTGGAGGCTGAGTTGGATGTGAGCGAACCTGGATTTTTCTTTGAGGCCCAGGTTCTCAAAAGCCACTCGACTTCCCCAAATCTCAACTTCCCCGTTTATTCATTCAGTCAAAATCTAACGTCTCCACAGCCTAGCTCCTGTCTATGTGAGACAATTGGAAGAAAGAAGAAAATGTCCTGCTCCTTGTAATGACAACAGGACCTTTGCAGCAGCCCTTGGCAATTATATGTATGTGTGCACGTGTATACAATTTATACACATAAATATGTGTAAATATAGATGCAGATATATATTAGTGCTTTTTGGCAGAGAGAAACACAGATTGAAGAGGCGGAGGAGGAGGGAGAGAAAAAGAGAAAAAAACCTCTTTGATCTTAGGACCTTGGGTTTTCAAATATTACTGATTGTAACCCACGGAATGGATGCATTTTAGATTAGACTCCAGCATTTGCAAATACACACAAAAATAAATATTAGCACCTGATTCTTAACCCTATTAAGTACAATGTATGCTGGTGTTTCTTTTTATGGGATACTGTTTTTAAAAATGTATTGATTCGAGCTTCACCACAATACCTCCCCTTTATTCAGTTTCAGGGTCTCATAATCAATCAACTGTGGTCTGGAAATGTGAAATAGAAAATCACAGAAGTAAAGAATTCGTAACCCCCGTATTTACTCCATTCTGCTTAGTGTGGTGAGATTTCCCCTGTCTCACACAGGACACAGCTGTCCAGCATGTCCACACCACGTCTGCCTGTCTTCCGTTTAGTTACCCAGGATGAAGCTTGATGGTCAAACCAACTGTCATGGTGTCACAGGAGTTCTAGTCAAGCAACCCTTGCATTACTTAGCAACGACACTCACTCCCAAGTGCACCAGGTTGTGCTGGCTATTTGGATATGACAAAGACAAGCCACAGAATAACACAGAATAATGTTTTAAGTAAAAAAGAGAAAAAGAAAATCCTGTAGGTTGAAGTTGCTCAGACTTGAGTAGTTGCTGCTGTCAATCTAATTTATAAATTAAACTTTACCAACAGTATATGTAGGGTGTAGTACTATTAAGTTTGGTATATACTATCTTGGAACACACTCGTGGATAACTGGGGAGTAGATTAATGGATTAAAACCCAGAGTTTGAATCACTCTATGGAACAGGAAGTCTCATGGAGGACTTTAAAAGCATAGGTTCACAAATCCCTAAGCCTTTTCTTTTATTTTGTAAGATATTGCAAAATAGAAGAAATTCAGCTGGATAAGAAGCCACAGATCACATGGTATATTGTTGGATAATGAACATAGTTTTGTGTGTATGCTGGTGACTGCATTTCATCAGGCTTGCTGACAAGTAGGATTTCAAAACTGCATCTTAGGCAGGGCGTGGCACTCTTTGGAAGGAAGGATCATAGCCCCTCCCCCCCTCGTGTCTTTCAATGAGTACCAGTAAGCACTTCCTCCATGGACAGGGATCCACAGACAACACAGCCCAGATATGCATTTTGCCACAGGACCACTGAACTATGAACAGGATGCTGACACACCTTTCCAATCAGGAAGATTCAAAACTCACAGCACCACCATCACCACTACCCTCAAACAGCAGTCTACCCTTGATCCTGCTCTGTGTACAACTGGGAGAACAGCCGACATTTCTGGCTCAGTGCTGAACTTTTTCTATAGTAGGAAAGCAAGCATTTTGTCCTGGCCCTTCCTTGTAATCTAAGCTTTGGGTGTTTCTAACATTACTTTAAAATATTTTTTTAGATTTATTTACTTAATTTTATGTGCATTGAATGTTTTGCCTGATGTATTTATGTGTACCATGCTTGTACCTGGTGACTTCAGAGGTCAGAAGAGGGCATCTGCTCTGGAACTGGAATTTCGGGTGGTTATGAGCCACCATGTGGGTAACGGGAAGCAAATCTTGCTCCTCTGTGAGAACAAGCTCTCTTAACCAGTCGGCCAGCTCTTCAGCACTCTCTACCATCACGTTTGATCGTGTTGTTTCTTCATACCTAGGATGTCTTCATCCACCCACACGAGTTCTTCCTTTCCTTCTTGTTTATATCCCGGGTTTTCTAAGACCCCCCTCTTCCTCCCTGGTTTCCTCCCTGGAAGTGAGACAAAGCTCACTGAATTCATGCAACCACTTGCTTCCTAGGAACTGTTTATGAATGTATATGGACTGACTTTCTAATATTTCATAAAACATTTCTAAGAAACTTTGGTACTTAGTCCTCCTTAATGAGTATTCCTTACTTAAGAACGTTTAGCGTTTTTTTCATTACAATACCTAAATCAAGTAACTATTAAAGGTACCAGTTTTAAGCTACTTATCTCACTTGCTGAGAACCAGCGATCACAATGATGGTAGATCCCAGAACTGCTAATTTACCTAAAATCCATCATTTGGAAGACATTTGTTTCAGACAACTGAATTCTTACATGAGTGGAGCACCTGCAAGCTTCCTCTCTGGGATCCTGGAGACGCTCTCATGGAAAAGGCTCTGAACTTCTGACACAGTTAATCCACACAACTCTGTTGGCTGCTGCCCTGCAGGAATCTCATTCATTCATTGTTTCTGCATTTCTCTTTGTAACACACACACACACACACACACACACACACACACACACACACACGAATGCACTCACACCTCTTCCTTTCCCTTTCCTTTGGCTACTTACATCTTGGAAAGAACTTAAAGGCAATCTATTCAGTACCCAATGGAATAATGTACTTCAGATCACTCTACAGAAAACTTTGAAAACATTTGGGGTCAAACTCCAAATCTCTGTCATTAAGGAAACTGGGAGCCAGACATTTTAAGGCATCACCACCTAGCTCTTCAGTTTCATTTCCCTTTCCCAAACGTCCTGTCTTCCAGCAAATCCCTCTGTCTGGCCACTGGAGAACTTCCTCCCAGATCCTCAGCATCGAAGTGTCTTCTCCTCACCAACCAATTCCCCAGGGATGCTGCACCTGACTCCCACAGCTTCTCATATCTTTCTTGGTGCTTTCACTGTTTATTCTGGTTTTTCTCTTACCCAACACCACACCTGTGGAAACCACACAAGTCCTTTATATTAAACTCTCCCATGATTGTCAGCAAACTCACACAGGCAAGTGAAGCCCATTGTGGTAACTACTGCCAAGACCTGATTTTTCCCGGGGTTGGGGGGGGAGGCAGAAGCCCTTTCTACCTCTCCTGTATGATATAGACAATCTGCGGAGAGGGGAGATGTTGTTTCTTGAAGTTTATGTAATCCCTCAAGACACATGGCCAAGCAAACAATTAAATTATCCCTACAAACTGAGCAGATGTATCCCAGCTCACCGGCATGTCTATTTATGCTAGTCTTTACCGGAAGGATCAAGAGCCTGTATAGCTCCAGGGGAAAATAACCAACATGCGGAAGGGCGAGTGAGGTGGTCAAAGAGAAGAATGGACAGAAAAATACCAGCAAACAAACGAAACACAGCTAGGGCTTGGGAACTTATTTTGTTGGTGAAGTGCTTGCCTTGCATGGTTGAGGACCTGCGTTTGAGCCACAGAATCTGTGTTAAAAAGCAGGGCGTGGAGGCATACACTTGCAACCCTAGTGCTCGGGGGACAGAAGTAAGTGGATTCCTAAGGCTTGTTGGTCAGCCACTTGGCCTACTTGGTAAGCACAAGGCCCGTGAGAGACTGTCACACAAAACAGAACAGACAGCATCTGGGGAGTATCACCTAACGTTAGCCTCTGAACACACACACACACACACACACACACACACACACACACACACACACACACACACACACACACACACACACACACACACACACACACACACACAATCACACACACACACACACACACACAATCACACACAGAGATACATACACAGAGAGACACAGACAGACACAAAGACAGACACAGAGACACACATGCACAGCCTCTTTCTCTCCAAACAAATCAAAACTAATTATGGACTGTGACAGCAAGTATGTATATTCTAGAGACCTTGGCTCCACCACCAACAGGGAAATGATTTAGGGCATGTTGCTTAAACTGTACATTTGGTTTCTTTACCTGGTCATGGCAGGATAACTGAAGCACCAATCTCACAGAGTTGCCATGAGGATTAAATCAATAAATCATAAAATCTCAATGCTTGGTGTATATTGGCCACTATTTAAATATTTATTACAATGGTAGGCCCTTGGCTTGAACCATCTTGTTTGGTTTCTGCTGACCCCAAAGTCCTAGAGGTTGGAGGTGGTTTCCATCCACACCACTACACTGTTTCCCAACATGACCCAAATCTTCCAAAATCTGTAACTCGTTTATTTCTCAGGGTAAAGCGCGGGAAGTTTGAAGCCCTTCTGTTCCTGAGTGTTCTGGATCAAGGGGCCTCTGTCTAGATTCCCTTTCCTTGGTTGACTTCTCTTGCCCTCCAGAGTGCCTTCATTGCCCAGGTCTCCTACAGGCCATCCCTTCCAGGGAGGCGCCTCCCCTGATCCTCGTCTCCACCACACCCACCTCCACCGTCATGGCGAAGTGGTCAGGTGCCTTCAGGCACCATCTCCTCCTACGGAGTCTCTCCAATGTCTCTAAGCCCAGAAGAAATAGAAAGAAGGAAAGGAAGGAAGGAAGGAAGGAAGGAAGGAAGGAAGGAAGGAAGGAAGGAAGGAAAAGCCCTAATCCCTGATTCAGGCATCGTCCTGTGAGTGCAGGGCCTGCACTCCACTTGAGTGCCTGCGAGGATGTTACACTGAACTTGTCTGAATCTGAACTCCTGACGCCTCCTCTTGAGCTTTCCTTATCTCAGTTAATAATATTCCACCCTCCCCGTTCCTCTCACTATCATCAACACACATTTTATCATTTCTTCACACCCACCTCCTTTTTTAGAAAGGGCATCACTCTCCGCCCAGCCTGGGCTTGAACTCTATGTCATCCTCCTGGTCCAGCCACCCATGTACTGGGTTTATAGTTCTGAGTCTGGAAAAGTCCCTTCAACTCTGTCTAAGGCACAATGAGGATCTGGCAGTCACCTCCAACTGTGCCCTGGCCCCGTGAATGCTCCCAAGTCTCAGAATGCCCCCTTACACCGTTTCCACTTCACACTCGGCATCCTCCTACAGCGGTGACACACAGCCTCGGAGACAGATGCCTCACCTCACCTCACTCAGAAACACCAAAGTCCTTACAATTACGTGGTGCTACATGGACCATGAGTGGGCCACCCTGTCTGAATGCCATCTGACCTCACGTCCTCCCGTCTCCACTCTTCATCACGCCTGGTCACATGTCTCAGACATCCGGGCTGTCCCTTCCTTACCTTTGCAAATCTGATCCAAAGCATGGGTTACCTCACGCGCCTTTGAAAACCACAAGCTACACCTGTGTGGCCTCTTTTCTGCTTTCTTGCTACATTTGTTTAGTGCAAGACTGATCTTCTAGGTCCTGCTGGTGTTGTTTGCCCTATTAGAACGCTCATTTTCTATGCGAATTTAAGCACTGCCAGTGGGAATTTACATCGCATCTTTTCACTCCTGCCTTCTGATTGCACAGTGAGCGCCTTGCACAGTGAGTGCCTTGCACAAAGCGGGAATTCAGTAGCGAGTTGCAGCTTGGACTGGGAGGCTGGCTCATTTGGCTCCTCTTACCTAGGACAGTCATCACCGTCTTCATTAGCTTCATGGGAGCCCTCCGGCGGCTGATGGAGCCACTCGTGTGTGGAGACAACACGTTGGTTTTCCTCTTGACATACATGTAGATACGCACATATACCACCACCATGATGAAGAAGGCCAAGAGGTTCGACACAGTCCAGAAAATGAGGTAACTCCTGCTGTAAATGGGGGCCAGAGAAGAGCAGGCGGAGATGTTGCAGAGGCAGTTCCAGCCCAGCGTGGGGACCGCCCCCATGAAGATGGCAATGGCCCACACCAACAGGATGAGCAGAGTCACCCTCTTCTTGGTCAGGTTGCTGTGCACCCGCATCCTCATGATTGACACGTGCCTCTCCACCGCGATAACCAACAGATTGGCCAGCGAGGCGGTCAGGCTGGTGTCTAGGAGCCCCTGCCGGAGAAACCAGCGGTTGACCGTCAAGGTTTTTGACACGGGGCCAGTGTTAAACATCAGGAATACATAGGCGATGCCAGCAAAGAAGTCTGCAGCCGCTAAGTTAGCCAGCAGGTAGTAGAAGGGAAAGTGAAACTTCCTGTTTGTGATCACTGCCGCGATGACTAGGGAGTTAGAGAAAAATATAAAGAGGCAGAAAAATGTCCCAACGCACAAGACAATCACAAGCTTTGTCCCCGACCACTCGTCGGCAGTGTCTGAGTTGCTCCTGTTGTAAAAAAAGTCCATCCGCTTGTCGTAGTGACACTCATTCATTGTGGACAAGAGCTGCACATCCTAAGAAGGAAGGAAAAGAAAACAAGCATCTCAGTGAAATCACTTGCTGAGCCACTGACACCATGGCACCCCTCCCCCCAGGCGACTCCTTTCAATCTCTCGTGTCTCAATGTAAAACTGTCTTGTGTTGAGACATTCACTCCTGGCCCCCTACCGACCACTGTGCACTGCTTGCATGCGAATTTTTTCCCAGGGTCAGCTGAAAGTTCAGGGAGGGTGTGCCTGTGTTTCTTTTATTCACACCAGGATTCAGACACACTGCCTGCTCAGGACAGGTAACTGAATGGCTGGCTAGCAAATGAATGAATGGACGAACAAGGAGGCACCAATATGTCAAACTGTCTTCTCATCTCCACTCTGTACCAGTGACAGCAACAACATAGCACAAATCACTAATGAGTGCTTTTTGCTGGTAGCATCTGGGCCATTATTTATGAGCTCTGTTCAGTAATCAAAAGCAGGCTTGTAATGCCAAGATGATGGTACTGAATTACTCTTCCAGGGCCAAGTGCCTTCTCGGAGAGATCCGTTTCAACGCCTGCAATTCCCATCTTGATGGTTCTATCAGCATCAGTTAGTTTCAGGCTACAGTTCCAATCCTGCATGAGGCGTATGTTGTTGGGAGGGAGACTTTGGTCTCAACGCCCCTCCCTTACCTCTCGTTCACTTCTCCCACAGCCACCCATTCCAATGGTACCAGTGGAAATACGTCTGCTGGCTTTTCCATGCCAACCACTTCAAGTCAGTTTCTTTCCCAGGAGACTCTCCAACCCTCAGGTGATGGAGGACGAGACCTTCACAGATACCACTGACATCTAGGGTGTGTATCCAACCCAAAGCAAATATGAGACTTCACTTGCCAAGTGAAGGCTAGTCTTCCAGACTTGTGTGAGAGGGGACATGGAACTATAGTATCAGGCTTGTAGGGATGACACTGATCCGTCTCAATAGAAGACTGAGTGGGAGACTTCAAAAACCAGTGGTGTTGAAGCCAAGATTCAACTTCTGACTAGAAGGGCTATCTAATCCCTCATAAAAAATATGGCTTGGATTTTTGTTGTTGTTGTTGTTGTTGAACCACAGGCTCAGCAGACCAAAGAGTTAAGCTGTCCACTGAAGTCTGTGTAATAGGGAAAGCATAGAAGGAACCCAAAGTTTTGAAACTTCCCTTAGATTCTGGAATCTGACACCTCACCAGAGTAGGGATCACCAGCCTAGGCAACGATTTTAAATAATATAAAGCACAGCTATATCTGAGTCTGCTTCTCAATTTATATTTCCATTGTATAATGATATCTTAAAGTGAATTAAATATTTGCTCTGTTGTTGTGAGATAAAATATTCACTTGATATACTTAAACATATTTCATAGTTTTAACAGCTTTTTAGCATCTGTTATATGTCCTACTTAACTAGGTTTAGACACTGAGGTTATTTTCAGTATTTGACCTTTATAAGAAATTAACCTTTATGTACATGGCCAACTGTGGGAATAATCCATGGTTTTCAGAATTAAGTAGAGGATATCAATGTGTCCGAAAGGTTTCTGACAGATCTTATCAAACTGCTTGAAAGCGATTGTATTTCTAAGTCTGCCAGCACAATAGGAAGGTGTAATAGACAATATTAATTACTGGAATTCAATTACATACCCAAGGAGAAAATTAAGCATTCAACAATGCTAAAATTATACAAAGATTCTAGACAATCTGAGAAACTCATGCTCTAATTGGTCTCTGGTGTCATTCAAATCAATCTAGACCCTCACTGTGGAGGCCTATTAGTCTGCCCTCATGGCTGAAATTCCACCCTGTAAAAGACTGCTTTGGCTTCTCTTTTGTTATTTAAAACAGAGACTCAGCCTCCCCCAGACACCAAACTTGATGGGGTCTTGATCTTGGATCTTGGACTTCCCAGCTCTACAACTGTGAGAAATAAACTCTGTGTATACATACCTAGTCCTACTTACTTTGGTTCTAGCCATAGGAATTGACCCAAATGCCACATTAGAAGTTTTAACGATACAATTATACTGTTTCCTTTCATTAACTAAAAATGATTTACATATGTATTTTATTTTGTTATATAGTATAGATAGCTAAGAAAGACATTTTTCTAATTTAAATGTGATATTGTTCCTGAGTGATTTATTAACAATATTATATAGAATGTTGGAATTCAGATGTTTTAAAAGTCTGATGATTTTTTCTGTTATTTTAAAAGAGATGTTAGATTTTTAATTTGGGTCTTTACATTTGGTCAACTCTGTGATTGTATAAGGCACAAAAGTCTTGATGATCAATACTCCAAAAACCTTCAAATTCTACTTTTCTTCCATAAAAACTAAGTTGTATATTCCTGATTTTATCTTTGAAAAATTGTTATGAGAACAAGAAGTCATTTTGTCTTGAAAATGTTGAGCTATCACAGGGAAACTATGATTAGCAGAACTTACACTGAGTGGCTCTCTTTCCTCAAAGACTGAGTCAGGGGATGAATAGAGGAGAGCAAGAAAAGAAATACCTTAATAGAGGGAACCATTATAGGTTTAAAGAGAAATCTGGCACTAGGGAAATGTTCAGAGATCTACAAGGATGACCCCAACTAACAATCTAAGCAATAGTGGAGAGGCTACCTTAAATGCCCTTCCCCTATAATGAGATTGATGACAACCTTATATGCCATCCTAGAGCCTTCATCCAGTAGCTGATGGAAGCAGAAGCAGACACTCATGTCTAAGCACTGAACCATACTCCTGGAATTCAGTTGTAGAGAGGGAGGAATGATGAGCAAAGGTGTCAAGACCAAGACCGTGCTGGAGAAACCCACAGAAATAGCTGACCTGACTTTGTGAGAGCACAGGGACCCCAGCTGTAAAGCTGGGGAACCAGCATTGGAATGAGCCAATGCCTCTGAATGTGGGTGCCAGTTAGGAGGCCTGGGCAGTCAATGGGACCTCTTAACAGTGGAACCAGTGTTATCCCTTGTGCACAAATGGACTTCAGGAGCCTATTCCCTATGGAGGGATACGATTTCAGCCCAGATACACGGAGGAGGGCCTAGGCCCTCCCACAAATGATGTGACAGAATTTGATGATCCCCTGGAAGGCCTCACCATGCTTGGGAAGTGGGTGGGGGGTGGGTTGGGGAAGATTGGTAGGGGTCATGGGAGGATGGGAGGGAGAGGGAACGGGGCGGGGGGTGGGTATTGATATGTAAAACGACTGTTTCTAAATAAAAGAAAAAATGGGGGGGGGGAGAGGATAGACTATCAAGCAGTAAGTTCAAATCATGCCGGGAAGTTGTGTAGCCCTGGATGTCCTGGAACTCATGTAGACCAGGCTGACCTCCAACTCAGAGATCTGCCTGCCTCTGCCTCCCAAGTGCTAGGATTAAAGGTGTGCGCCACTACTGCCCAGTGTTAAAGACTTTTAAACAGGGGTCCATTTTGCTTTCAATTGTATACCAATTGCTCCGAAAAACCAGCTTAAAGTTTAAAGGTAAAGCCTGGAAGACACTCATGGGCTTGACTGGTGCTCCCGGCTCAGCTCCCTTGAGGGATTTCCATGGGGAACAAACCTTGTGATTTTTGTCTAAAGCTTCCCATCCACCCAAGACTTTCCACGCGATAACTGACGCAGCTGGATGCAGCCTTCACCAGTTCGCCCACAAGGCTTCCTGCCACCCACCTCACCCCGTCTTCTGCATTTGCTATCAAGCTTACTGATGGTTTCCAGGACAGACTGACTATATTTTATTGTATTTTCTAAGCTGGAAATCACCAAGAAATCCTAGCCAGTTTATAACTAGTGACCAACTTAGCATTTCTTGACCTCTCTCAGCCCTTACAACATGATTCTGTGATTTCAAACAAAAACTGGTAAGTCATTTCATTCCTAAGCTAAGTGTTCTCTGCAAGACACCTCTGACCAATTCAGCTTGCCATAACTTTGGGTATGTGAAGGCCGTGCTTCAGCACTTGCTCAGACACGCTGTAGTCAGTCCACGCCTAGGCCTCTCTTCCATGTTTATATAGAAACACTGGTATCCAACTCCATCACCAACCATTCTGCTCCAACAGAGCAGGGTTCTCTCCGTTATGCTCACCTTGATAGTGGTGGACTTGATATGTGAACAGGTGACCTTTGTCCTCTGTTATGTCCCACGCCTCTAAAATGAGAAGTCTGGAGTTGAGCAGCTCTGCTGACTTACACAACAGTCACTAAGCAAAACTGGGGAGTTTCTTCACTTATTAACTACGTGTTCTCAGTGAGTTAACGTCTCCACTCTAGTCTAATTTAATTACTAATATTAAGTGTGTGCCCTGGGCCAAGTGCTGGACTAAGCATTTTACATGGATCACTTCATTTCGTCTTCCCAACGAGGACGCACAGCCACTGTGAGGAAGAGGAAACAAGCACCTGTCAGGTCACAAGGCTGAGAGGAGTTGACTCTGTCCGGGCATCCATCCCATAAGCCCACACTCCACAGAGCTTCCCCTCTTTGGCAAAGGCAGCACCAGTCAGATACTGTGAATACTAGTTAGGCATTTAGTAACGGCTACGTTACTGAAAAGGAGAGGATTTGATCAAATCGCATCCAAAGACCACCCCACGGTATATAACACAGATGGACACCCTAAACAGGCTTCGGTTCCCCTCACTGCTCTTTTAAAATAGCCTGAGGTGGTGGGGGAGGACCTTTCTTTCCCCTGAAAATACGTGTTAAGTTTCTACAGATCATGGGAATCGATCCAGTCACACTGATGATGCTGGATCACCTCTGCCACATTTCAGCTGACATTGGTTTTCATGCTGAGGGTTTTAGAGGGTTTAGCCGCTCTGACCCGGACACAGGAGATGCTAAACTTTGGAGTGATGACCACAACTTCAAACTCCAGTAATGTAAGACTTCATAAAATGGTGGTTTGGAAAGTCTATATGTGGAATCCAAATGAAAACTTCACGAGCAAAGCTTTC